CGATCAAAATTCTATCATAAAATTCTATTGTAAAAAGAATACCGGAAATTATTTTATAAAAGCATACCGACTTACCTTGAAAATTTTGCGTAGTTAGTGGCTTTTTTTCTAAGAATATATTATCAAGATTCATGCCACAGGGACATTTGATCGTGAGGCGTCTTGTAGCGACTGTCTGTCGCTGTGCTACCTCTTATCGTTCGCACCGTACCAATCACCACGCACACTATTGCGTGTTAATTAACGTGAGACGTGTAATATATGATATATGTGCGCTCATGCGAAATTTAATTTATTTTTTAATATATTTCCATGAGAATTTTTTAACAAATAAGAAATAACGACTAATAATATTTATTTAAATTAGTTAGTATATTTAAATTAGTATATTTTAATTAGTATCAAATGATAAGTCGGACGAAATTGTCATCTTATTTCAATTATCACTATATATTTAAAAATCATTAATCAAAGAGAAATGAATTTTAAATTATTTTTTAATTTAATCAAATCAATAATGAGTTATTTACTAAATTTAATTAATTGAATATATACGAGGTCTGATAAAAAAATAAGCGAACTTTTTTAATTACTCGGAGCGTCCTAGCGTGTGGTTTGCAGCATTATTGTAATGTATAATCTTTTGAGTAACTGGCTTTTTTAAAATTGTTTATATTTCGTTTAGTTTCAGAGTTATTATACTATTTGAGTGCAACGTGTTTTAGTGTTCGTGACGATTTTCGCCTCGAACTAAATTTTTATTTTGGAAACTGATTTTAATTTTGGGAACAAGAAAAAGTCGTAGGGAGCAAGATCTGGGAAGGCTGGGGGAGAACAATTACCTGATTTTTGGCACAAAATTTGCGAATTGACAAGGCTGAGTGGGCAAGCGCATTGTCATGGCGAAGAGCAAAGGAACCATGAGTTGTCTCGCCACAACTGTGGTCTCTTTTTGCAAATTTTTATGCGCAATCTTTTCAAAACACCATCGTAGTACTGACGGTTGATAACTCTGAAACTAAACGAAATGTAAACAATTTTAAAAAGCCAATTATTCGGAAGATTATAACGATAGTGCTGCAAACCGCACGTTGCTAGGACGCTCTGTTATCGAGTAATTAAAAAAGTTCGCTTATTTTTTTATTAGACTTCGTATACCTATACTTCAAATTATGAAAACCGATTTCCAATAAAAAAGAGAGATGAATTGAAAGAATAATATATAAGATCACACTTTTTGAATATTTAAAGCCTTGTAATTAATATAAGAAACTTAATGCTTTTTACATTTTATTACTTTGAATTTTTTTTGTGAAATGCGAATTATCTATTTTTATTTTTAAATGAGTATTTCGGAATATTTATTAGAAGAAGAATCGATCGATAATTCAAAGATATAACGTCTTTAACGTCACTAAATTAAACATAACGAACCGTGCACAATAAATATATGCTTCGTTTAAAACTAGTGAGTAGACTAGGAATTCGCAATTAACGCAATGATATCGATATCACATTCATTGGAAGAGTAATAGGACCATTTGACTGTGCTGTTTCTAATTCGACTGTAATTTCAGACTGCATTTCTGCGTCCATTATCGAGTTATGGTGTGGCTGTTCCATACTGATAAAACGGTGACTTAAAATTAAGAGACTTTTTGTAGAGAGATGTAAAAAACTCTGTAATCAGGATATGAAAGAATAAAATAACGCATATACAAGGATTACGTATTCGAATCACATTTTTATATCAACATTACGACAATACAATATGTTTTGTAATTTTTCAATTTTATTTTTATCGCTAGAATATATTTAGCGATTTGCTTTTCATTATAGACAAGTTTGGTAATTATTTTTGCTAAGTAATTATTTAATACCTATATAGATATTTTTTTATGTAAACCGAATCTCAGAAAAATTTAATGCAACATTCTTGACTTAGCAATTTATATATATCAAAACTATAAAAAATAAACATGTTTTCTTTTATTTTTAATTTCTCAATTAATTTTTCCATTATTTTTTTGAATATCTTTTAAGTGAGTTTCCTACGATCAAAGGGGAACTCATTTAATTTGAGAGCGAAAAAAAGACATTTATAATTCAAACTGGATATAAAAATTTTTTGTTCGGCGAATTTTACATTGTCTTTTAAAGGGCATCAATTTTTAATGTTATTAATTTGTATTAATTGGATCACGAAAGTTTTGTTGAAATATCTAAAAATTTAGCAGCTAAAAATTTAGCTAGATACAGATCTAACTGTAGTTATGTTTGAACTATTCAAATAATTATGTAAGACGCTCAAATTGGTTACTAGATACTGTTTTGTAATTGAACTTGAATTGTAGTCAAAACTTTTTGTAGTCAAGAACACTTAAAGATGCACTATACATATTTTAAAATAACAAAAAATTATGAAAAATTTTACAGGTTATTCCAGATAGCATTTAAAAGCAATACAGATTTAATGACGGTTTACTTTAAAAGTTTGTTTCTATAAATATTTTTTATCTGTACTCTAATGGAAATGTTTGGAAACTTTAAATGTTATTTTGAAATATGTCATTTTGAATATTTATTTATACAAAAACGTTTTGTATTATTATACAAAAACGTTTAGAGATTTTTGTTATTATTTTTTAAATTTTAGTTTATAGCGAAAAAATAATAACAGAATAATAACAGAGCAAATAAATTATAAAAATATATTGGTCAATAAAAATAGAATAAATAATTATGAACACAATTTTTATATGTGTATATAGTTTGCTTGTGTATGTATATATGTATATGTGTGTATATGTGCGCTATATACATTTCTCACATTCTTTAAGTTTACATAATTATTTTGAAAGTCTAAAAAAGTTATTTTTAAATTTGCATCTGATTAAATTTTTAGATACTTTAGCAAAACTTCTTTTTGTAAATAATTCTAAAAACAAGTACATTCATAAATAAGCGTATCTTAAATATTTATTATTTTATTGCTTAAATATTCGTTTTCATTAATTAAATAATTAATATTCGTGAATTTACGAAATTTATATTTTGTTTTATTCTTATTGTTTAATTAATATAAACAATCTTTACGTATTCGATAAAGTTATGTTTCAACAAAAACATAATTTTGCTTTTTTGCATATCAATCAATGAAAAACATACTTTTTATAGATCATACTAATCTATGTCGATGATTATTATATATTTAATATCATCGACATTTAATCATTTAATTAAAAACATAGATACACTTAAAATTCAGTGTATACATATGGTATGAGTATCGAATATTTACATACTAGTATAAATAGTTCGATAAATAAATTACTAGATGCACATTATTATATTTTGAATCCATCGTTGGACTCAACGGATTTCATTATGTGAATCAAATCCCAAAAAAGAGAACGCCATTATAATAATATTTACGTATATATGCACTTTGTATTTTTATATTTTCACGACGCATTATATTTTAAAGGCGATCGGACTAGTTCCCAAAACTTAAACTAACGTGTCTACATACAATCTTTTCATACATTTGCACAGTTTGCGTTTATTTAGCTGTACAATCGTAGCCAAAGGTACATATTTCAATCGTTTATAAACAAACGATTAAGATCTAAATTGTTCTCGTAAAATATCTGATAAAATATCTTTGTATTACTTTATTGAATTTTACTTAATAAATAGGGAAATTAAATTAGATCAATTTTTATAGAAATATAGATACAGATAAATACGTAAAAAATTAGACAAAAAGTCATCAAACTGAAGAGAATATCAAATACTCCAATTAATTATTCAAATTGATTTAGAAGGACAATATATAATGCCCACTACGATTGTATTTTCATCTGCCTTATTAATCGATAACAATCATTATAAACCGCAATATTCATACAAAGAGCTTACCATTTAATTTATGTAACTATTAAACTTGCTATTCTTCGAAAACATAATACATTGATAAATTAAATTAATAATAATAACAGATTATTTTTTATTTCAGGCAATTAATAGGAAATTTAAAAAGATACGACGCGAATCAAAGGTTATTTTTTTGTTGGACGGTTCCCGTAGTTTTTTTTGTCGAAAGCTGATGTTATTGTCCTTAATTACATTACGAATCAAATGACCCGTGTTCGGATTACGTTCACTGTATTAAGTTACATAAATTAGCATTACGTATACATAAATTAGCTTTTATGTATATTTAAATAAATGACGGATAAACAATTGAGGATACTTTAATATTTAATAATTTACAATTAAATATTAATAGATTATATATATGGCCGGAATAACTCAGTCAGTATTTCATATTCCACTGATCCTTTTTTATCTTTTCATAATATTTCTTTTTGATTATTTTGAAAGTTCAATAGAAGATGTGTATGTTCTAATAACAAATAACGATTAAAAAATTTGATTTAATAAATTTGATAAAATATTTTTAGTCTTCATTTTTTTGAATGTCAAAAAATGTCTAGATGTCTTTTAACGTCTGACATTTATAAAAATTTAATAAATGAGAATGAATTTTTTAAAATCATCCCTGGTAGTGCATTCAACAAGGTACATTTTTGTTCCGCATTGTTTAGAATTGTAATGTTTTATATTTAAAAATTAAAGTTAATAAAATATTTTTAAGTTTTTAAATTTTCTGTGTAATGCACATTTTTTAAATTTTATGATCGTATTTAATTTAAATTTTATATTGTATTTAAAAAAAATTATATTGAAAATATGCTACAAGTTTCGTGTTTTGCGTATTATATCTTTACATTCTTCAATTATTGATATATAGTTATTTTTCTAATCTTTCTTTACTGTCATGGGTAAAACTATTGGATAAGTGAGAAATTGAAACGAATAGTATCGAATATAGTATTTGAATAGTTTTCTAATTATTTTTAATCTTTTTTTTTTTGCGAATCCAGTAGCATTTTTTCATAAGGGTAAAATTAATGTTCCATTATCCGTGCTCGGAATTATGTACTAGCTTCGTCAATAACAGTAATTGTTCTGGTGTTAGTATTAGGTGGTACATTCATGAAACGCCATTTCGGTTTGACATCTTGCTCATTAGTTGTTGATTGAACGCCACTAATCTGATCGCAATTAGATTGATTTGTCTTGGATCGGCCCAGGGACCATCTGCGTCCACAACGATCCATAATAATTGGCATCTCAGCAATCAGATTGTTTTCGAATTCTGAGAGCATAAGATAGTTCTCGACCTTGTTGCACGAAGTTATACAATCGCCTATATAATCGAAATCTTCCAGTAAATTATCAGGTAAATCCATGTCAGCTATACCTTCCTCCGAGATACACGTGAGTTCCGGTTTATCTATTCCTAAAGCGTCTATCCCTTCACCTAGGACAATAAAACAACAGCTATGTTAAGTATTTAGTGCATTTATAATATCATTACTATGCAAAGTTTTATTTCGCATTTTACAATATGCTTCATTTGTTATACAAACGAAAATAAAAATATCAATTTGGCTATTTGAAAGATTGAATGTATTATATAAATAGGTATATAAATAATAAGAAAAAATCAAAGATTTAGTTTTTTTTACTTGAGTTATTATTAATCTATGATAAATACTTCAAGAAATAATATAAAAAGAATCAAAAGTAATAGTGTAAGATCAGAGTTTGAGATTATATACTCATATATACAGTATGATTATTCCAATATAATAATAATTATATATATAGCATAATAATTATAGATATAGCATATTCATCGCATCTTCGTGAATGAGAGAGAATGCACAATTACAAAATTGAGTGAGTTCTTTTCAATGTGAGCTTTACTTTTATTCCTCAAATAATTGTAGACGTTTGATCTAGATATACTATATCTTGCAGTGTTTCAGGAATACTGCAATAATATTACAAATGTTGTATTGCTAAGACTGAGGGATAAAATATGTTACAAATATTTTATATTTTATATTACATAAAATACATTATTATTAGAGTCCGACTAAAACTTTTATCGAAACTGAAAACGAACACTTATTACGTGTTAGTTTCGATCGAAACTATATATAACTCTTCTTCATAAATATTAATTTTAATATGTGTAATTATTGTTTCAATAATTAAATTATGATGTTTATGAAGAAGAAATACTTATATTCTTTGGTCAAAATTGACCGAATTGACAATCGAAATTTTGGTTTTCGATTTTGGCCTTTTAATTATTGTTTCGATAAATTATGATACTTATGAAGAAAAAATATATAATATATAGGCATGACCTATTTATATATATGGCCTTTATAGGATTTCTATTTTTTTAATTTTTGGTTTCAGTTTTGGTTGAAATTGATATGCAACTGAGTGTTTCGTAAAAGTTCAGTTTCGATAAAAGTTTTGATCGGACTCTAATTATAAACAATAAAATAATATTTAATAAGAATTGTTTTCTATGTTCTCTTTCTCTCTCTCTTTCTCTCAATTTTTTTTTCTTCTTATTCATTGTAAAAATTGGAAAAAGAATATAAAAGAAAAAACCTTGTGCTGGAGCAATATCGGTCCCTAGAATGAGTGCTGCAGCCGTCGTTCCGGCTGCTCCAGCAGCGGCGTGAGTTCCCTCGTTTTTAGGTTCTTGACTGAACGATAATCTTCGTCGTTGAGGACAACTGTCCGAGGAGCATATATGTTTTTTACCATTAGCTCTGGTGTGTTTATGTCTTGATAAATTTCTTCTATGCAAATCAATGAAGAAGAGTGTAAAACTGCCAACCAGAACACATGTCGAGCTGAAGTAGTAGCCAGCCTTACCACCACAACCTACATTTATATATCCTGCAAAATATATTTTTCCTCACTCTGCATTATAATGTAGTGTGCTCGATGTTTCAGGATGTTCATTAAGGAATAGAATTGAATACTGATATTTCTAACAATCGTTTTTTTTAATTTTTTAAAAATTTTGTTAGAAGTGAAACACTTCATCGTTGATTAAAATGAGACAGTATCGATCGAATGAGACAATATAAATTACTCATTATAAATTTTTCAGACTAATTATACTCGTTAAGATATAACTATATCAGATTTTTTACTATATTAGACTTTTTTACCTGATATTGGTACTCCGATTGCAATTGGTATCGCTTGAGAGCATTGAACAAAACCCCACGTTCTGGCAAAGTTCCGCGCTCTTACTCTTTCGTATGTATACATCTTCAGACTGTAATGATAGCCGCCGCAAAAGATGCCTATAGGAAAATCAGTTTTTTTTTATTACTCGTAATGTGCTCTTAAAATCTTTTATTGCGAGAGACAGAGAAGAAAAGACAGATTGCTTGTCACTAGAGCTATTACTAGCCTATTACTTCTCTTTTGCTATGATAACTTTAAGAGTTTCGATGTTAAATCATAAATTTTTCATAAATTTTGTTATTTCGGAAAAAAGACAAAGCATTCAGGAATTATCTTTGTATCTAGAAATTATCTTCTTATATGTATATTATTCAATAAAAGTAATGAATGAAACTTTACCGTAAATCCATGCGAACATAACATATCCGTGATAATTTCCTTGAACGGCGGTAAGAGCAAGAATGCAAAGTCCACACACAAAGACTGCTGCTTGTGTAAGATATTGGCGGGCTATCCTGCATTCAACGTTGCGATGAACGACTAGAAGTCCAAAAGCTACGCAGCCAAGAGTCCAAGCTAACCCGAGATAAGCCTGTAGTAGGACGACAGTATCACCAAGACCTTCTTCTTCCGCTTGATGCGCCTGCATAAAAAATTATTTATGCGATATATGTGCAGCGGATTTTAATATTTATCGTTTTTTGTGATTAAGGTCGAGAAAACAAGTCAATGTATGTATTAATTTGTATTATCATTACAGCAAATTATGAATTTTTGTTATTTTAAGTAACCGTTTAATAATTACATATTGCTTTTAGACAGTTAAAAATGACTGTTACAGAAGGAAACGATATTTTATGTTAAATAATATTTATGAGATCCAAGTCCGTTCAATTTTGATGTAATTTCCCCAGTAAGCAAGAAACATTTGGAAACATTCCAGCAACGTTATAACATTATTATAACGTTACTGAAGTGTTTCAAAATATTTTCTGCTTTATTCGCTACTAATGTTTTAAAATACTCTTTGCGTTAATAGTATGAAAATAATAGAAAATTTGTTTCGCATGAATTGTTGATTAAAAAAACGTAGAAGGTAGATAGAATACATATGGCGTCACTTATACTTCCAAATTCACTCATCATAGTTACCAGATAAAATATCGGCGTATTGATTCCGAATGCCGAAATACTGGTAGATACTAAAAGAATCCGCACTGTTTTACTTTTCAAAGTGCTAAAATCGAAAAACGGTGGTTTGTCAGTGGGTTTATTTTTGTCCTTTATTTTGCGTTTTTGATTTTTCAAGTGTAAAATTGCTCTTCGTTGAGGATGATACAGTGAAGCGCTACGATAAAAAGTGCCGAGAATAAAAGTGAGAAAGACCACTCCCGTGACAGCTTGAAGGCCAAGTCGCCATCCGATTTTACTGTAATAAAAAATTCTTATATGAACTTTAACTGGTTTCTTTCAATGACGAAAAGTCATTGTGTATTAATCGCAGAATTTATGCATTAATTAATACACATTCTGTGTATTAATTACAATACTTTTTAGATAAAAGGAAATTTTACATGGACGCGTATTTGTAAAACAATAATTGAGTACATTGAAATAAGTTCTTGATAATATTTATTACAATTTATGTAATTGTAATTATGTGTTTACGTAATATATACATACGTGATTGCTCCTTTTATAAAAGCAGACATAACTGCTATACCTAAGCCGCTTCCTGAGACGATAAAAATTTCAACCAATTCTCTCTTCCTCTTGAAATATTGAGCTACCATCAGCGTACTACAGTCTCGTGTCATTCCAACCCCAATCCCTATGGAAGAAAATATATCGATGATTCAAATCATTGTAACTATCTCTTGTTTGTTCATAGGATCGGGGAAAACAGTATCATTTTTTCGCCGACTATTTTACACTTTCGAAATTGGTGCTTGTAATCGTTTTCGCAAAGTTTTGCATAAGAGGGAAAGTTAGGGTGGAAATGGATGGAACTAATAGACTAATATTAGTAACGAATATAGATTTAGGCGAAAACAAAGATGACGCACTTGCTAAAATAATAATATAACCAAACATTTAACAATGTGGTGACATATTTTTCTCTTGCAAATATCAAGATGTTGTTATAGTTTATTATGATATTATTATTACCACTTATAATAATATATTAATTATGATAATGATTAAAACTAACAATTTAAATTAAAAAATTAACAACTTGTATCAAGTAATTTAAAAAAGAAAGCAATTTTATTGTTAATTGAATATCCGCTCGAGTTGTACCAATATATGTAATTTGAAAATAAAATTCCAACAATTAGATATCAATTTTAATAGACTTTAAATGTATAAGACATCATGACATTTGAAAAAAAGTGCCGTTAATTTATCGCAATTTCAGTGATATTTCTCGTTAGTTCTAGAAAAATTCTATGCTCTACGATTTTTAAACAGAGTTCTGGCTGCTACTTCTTCAATTTTGGTTTTTTTCAACGTAACAAATATGGAACTCTTTTTTTATTTTTATAAGGAACTATAGAACTATAAAAACATAAAGAGTGCTATTGAAATTGTCATTATTTTTTTTATATTAATAAAATATCATGTTAAATTCATAGATTCACATAAATTTAAATTGTGAAGTTAGCACGTTGTTCTATTAATATAAAAAAAATAATGTCAGTAGCACTTTTTATAGTTTTACAGTTTTCTTTATTAAAATAAAAAAAGTTCCGCATTTTTTATACAAAAAAAATCAAAACCGAAAATATGGTGTACCAACATCACGAATTTAATACGACGTTTCTTCTCTAAAATACAAAAAAAAATATTTTTACTTTTTGATACAGTTGTTTAATTTTTTTTTAAATTTCAATATCTTTGCGTCGTTTATAAGAATAATTTCTAGTTACGAGTTTATGTTTATTGTTACTGTTAATTGTGTTACTGTAAATAGTCCTTTCCGTTTGCAATTTTTACTTACCAACGACAGTGCCGTAGCTGAAGAATAATTGATGAAATTGTGAAGCGAAGGAAGTAAAAAGGCAGCCAAGGGCGGTAACAAGACCACCCAAAACTGCTGTTACTCTTGTACTTTTTTTTCGGCAAAATGCTATTGTAATCGGCGACACGAGCAGGGCGACACCCGTCGACATTGCTCCCAACCATCCTGTAAAATGAATGGACATTCCTGAAAAATCATATGGACATTCCACAAATTTTATTTAATCGTGCAAACACGTAGATGACACTTCCAGATAAAAGCTCAAAGAGTATGATTACGGGAAGATGAGGTGGCAACTATAATTATGTTCCGTACGTTCTCTTGTCCAGTACTATCTAATAATGCAACATTTCAGATTCTTATCGTTACGAGAATATGGATACCGTCTATGTATTTATCCACATACAATGTGAATTAATTCCGCAGTAAAATGTCTGTACGAAGTCTCCTCACGGAGATGTTATTAACTTTTTGCAGGAACGCCAGCGGCGTGTCGTTGATCGACGATTTCGAAGGAGATATAACTTTCGTATATCGCTCGCAATTTAGCCTGTAATAAAAAAATCAAATCAAACGCATGATTATTCCAAAAAGATTTTGATCTTCGTTACGCGCGTTATAGATAACAGAATGCTTCAACTGGCGCCCGTTTCTTATTTCGTCTGGCATGTTATTCTTTCCCACTTTTCTTTCGTTTATATGCTACTATCGTTTATATGCTACTATCATTTATATGCTACTATTTATTTCATTTCTTTTATTTATATATTTATATAATATATATTTATTTATATATTTAAAGTCGATAAAAGCCATCTGTTCTTGCGTGTTTGTTTAATGAACGTTGAACGTCTGGCGAGAATGAGATTGATTCGTAATTTGTGCAATAGCGATGTATTTTCTTTGCAGATTTCCGGGCGACACATAGATAGTAAAACGAATTTGCTTTGCAGATTATGGCTACTGCATATTGCCTAGCATTAGAATTCGACGAAGCTTCTCCATAACTAATACTTTACGATCGGAGGATAAGTCATGATGAGCGATATGACGGAAAGTTTGTTCTTCGCTTCGATTGATTTTTTAGATGTCGTTTGATTATAATTCTTGGGAATAATGTAAAAATAAATACCTTGGAATGCACTTAACTGAAACCATTTTTTTAGAGTGAAATAGATCTAATTTTTTCAGATCTAATTTTTTTCTCTTGGTATATATATATATATA